AGATCCCTCTCACGGTTGCTACTATTGAGCAAGGTATCACCTATACTGTACCTGTGCATTTCGTTTTTCTTGCCTAAATGTAGAATCTTACTTTGACCCACCTTAACCCTTGCCAGTGTTAGTGTGTTGTCTGAATGCAACTGAATGTGTTAAGTAGGTTCTTCAAATACAAGTGCAAGTAGTCTTCAATTTACAACAGTTCATTTAGGGTCCAAAGTTACCACGGCACTGAAAAAAGTGGCTTATGGTCATTTTTCACAATTATGACCTTTGCAGTATTCCCCGTGATCAAAATTCAGATGCTTGGCAACTGGTTCATATTTATGACAGCTGCAGTGTCCCAGGGTCATGTGATCACCTTTTGCAACCTTTTGACAAGCAGAGTCAATGGGGAAGCCTGATTCATTTAACAACCAGGTTACTAATTTATCAACTGCAGGGATTCACTGAACAACGGTGGCAAGAAAGGTCATAAAATGGGGCAAAAGCCAAATGTCTCATTTCACAACAGAAATTTGGGGCTCAATTATGGTCATAAGTCGAGGACCACCTGTATTGTCTTAACATGTCTTTATTTATTTAGGTATTTGTTTATCAAAGTCATATGCTGCTCGTCATCTCGCTGCCATGTGATTCTGCATATGTACAAGTAAATCTACTGCATCATAAGTGACCTATTTTCTGGAAGTAGCAAAGAATAAGCAGGTGCTGCTACCCCTTAGCTGGGCATAAATCTATTCAATTACTCAATTATAAAATTTTAATGCTTGGACTTTAATATTTTATTGTAATTATAGACTTGCCTTTCAGATTCTGATTCAATTAGACAGTTAGATCCAATTTGTGCTTTCAAATATGTGCTTGCTCTATTGTACCTCATTCTCTGAACTAACAGAGTGATTCCTGTAAGCCCCTGTGGATTGATCTGTCTCCCTGGGCAGTCTCATTTCTACACAAAATGTGAAGGGAGTTGTCTTACAGGGTGAAACCACTAATCCCCTGTCTCAACATTGCCAATACCGCAGTAGCTGACCAAGGTTTAAAATCCTAATAGCTGCCAACACTTTTTGGAGCTTTTTTGTTCCATTTTGTTCCAGAATGTGCTTGAATCAGAATAGAGCTGCAAGAGACCTTGGAGGTCCTCTAGTCCAACCACGTGTTTAAAAAGGAGACCCTATACCATTTTAGACTTGGGGCTGTTCAGTCTATTCTTAAAAACCTCCAATGATGAAGCTCCTACATCATCTGCCTAGTACAGAGGTATACAAACTCGACTTCATTGAGGGCCGCATCAGGGTTGTGTTTGACCTTGGGGAGTGGGGTGAGTGTGGCCAGGGTGGGCATGGCATTGACGTCACTCGCATCGGGGGCGTCTAGGGTGGCCCAAGCACTCTGCCAGCGAAAACGGGCTCCAGAGCTCCATTTTCAGCTGCGACAGCCTCCTGCCCCCCTCTGCCAGTGAAAACAGACCTGGGGGGGGGGGGAGGCATTGCAGCTAAAAATGGAGCCTGAGAGGCAGCATTGTGTTCCTACCGGTTCGGTCGAGTAGACAGTAACTCAGCCTGCCACGCCCCTGAACTGGTTCTATCAGCAGTGGCACCATCTTGATTTTAGGTTCTGCACATGTGCAGAACAATCTTCATTGCAAAATTTAATTTTTTCCTTTTTCTAACATTGTGTGCATGCACAGACCTTTTTAGGTGCAAATGCGCATGAGTGCAGAGCATGCGTACTCAAAAATTTTTGTGCACCGAACTGGCAGTAATGCCAGCAGCAACCCACCCCTGCTGGGAGGGGGGCATATGCACGGCCCTCCTGAGCTCTGTGTTCACTGGCAGAGGCACCGTGGGCTGGTCCTCCTGAGCACCTTACCGGAACAGTATCTGGTGCTCCCGGCAGGTACTGGTACATCCGTACCGGGGCGTACCGGTCATAAACCACCATTGATGTGGGAGCTTCCATATCTTCCTAGGTCCAATTTAATTCTTTGGAACAGGAGTTTCTATAATATTAATCTCAAACTGAAAAGCTCCAGATGCTAATTGATAAATAAATCACTAAAACAGCCATCAAGAGCAGATCTCGAATCAATATATTGCATGAAGAATGAGGTAAGAAGAAACTAGGAAAGAAACCTGACTTATTTATACAAAGTACAATATCTTCTAAAAAGGTCACAAGGAGTTCATTGGGAATTTGGCTAAGATGA